TAATATCACCAAGCCAGCCATTCTGAGTCATTTCTTTAAAATGTAGAGCAACACTGGAGAAACTTTACATGTACATCAGTAGGGAAGAGTTCCTATCTTCATCTGTGAATAGTAGCTCAGAGAAAGTAATTTCCCTTTAGCAGTATTCAATTCTCCCCCCAACCAAAAACTAAATTTCTGTCGTAGAAATTCCCAATGTCTTATAGAGTCAGACACCTGGGGAGGCAGCTGACAGTCCACACTGTGCGACATTATGCATTTGAGCCTCTAAAAACAGCGTGTGGAGCCCCAACCAGGATTTGAAGTCAGCATGACTAGTAGGCTATGTTCAGCAAGACTAAAGCTAACTTTGTAAAAGAAGGCTGAAATTTTTAGCAACACTGGGATATCTTCCTATCAGCTTTCCTGTTCTGAATTTTTTAAGACCTTCTACAGCTCTGTCCAGTCCCAAAGTGGCTGCAAAAGTCCCACATGTCCTACTCACACCAGAATCAGCTCTTACCCTACTTGCAGGCTTAGTATTCAGCATACTATAACTTTGCTTTTTTGCCATTTCTTCCCACTGGTTCTCCTCAGAAAATTTGCTGAGAAATTTTCTCCTTGTGAACTTCTTGCTGCAAGGGTTTTTTTTTTGTGATTTAGTCAAAATATCAACTAGAAAAAAAGATTGAAAAGAAGGAGAAGTCAACAGATGATACCTGAAATCACGGTCAGTGTTGTAGCGCTTGAAGGTAAGAAATGCAGGCACCAAAACAGTATGCAGATTAGGGTATGGGTATGGGATCCCCTCTTCTGGTGCTCTCTGTGAGCCGTTACAAAACATAATTGTGGGGGGAGGCTGCAGGGGAGGAAATCTACCAAAATTTCTTTGAGAGAAAATATTGTACAGAAAATAGTTAAAGATTTTTAATTTACAACTGCTGCTTCAAAAGCAGCTACTGCAACCAGATGCAGTTTTGCAAATGTTATCAGCTTTGGTTATAGGAAGCTCATCTTCCTCGTTTCCCTCTAAATGAGCAACCAAATGGAGCTGCCAACATTCCAGATTCTTGACCTCTCCAAATCTAACTTAATCCTAATACAAACCACACAGCATCTTGTTAAAATGGACTTGTTAAGATGTGGTTCAAACTTGCTGCTTGGACTTGATGGAAGTGAAGGCCTTCTGTAGACAGGTATAAGTTTGGCACAAGGCATTGTGAACCTTCCACCAGGTCCTGATTTTCCCAAAACCCAACATTTTGGCAGCAGTTTCAAGAAAATCTGTAAGTAGCATTTTTACTGATATAAAACATGGCAATAAATAGCCAAATTCATCAGTACTATTTGTTTTAAGAATAATGATTAAAGGACAGACTCAGTGTTGCTGTGTTTCCCAGTGGTTTTTTTTCTCAGTTTCAGATGACTCACTTGCAACAGGCCACTGAATACTGTACTTCAGTGCATGTTTTTGACATATCTTTCACACACAGTCTCCAAACACCTCAGAAACATTAATAAGTTAAGCTGTAAGAGCAATAATAATTCAGCTTCACATTCACAGCACCTAAGTCTCAAAGTCTTCCTGAGCATCTGTGGCAGATCTAAAAATGAAATTCAATCTTCCAACCACTTTTAATTACGCTTTGCTACTAGATCATGCAATCACACAGTCTAATTCAGGTTGGAAGGGACCTCAGGAGACCACCTCATCCAGCCGCCTCCTCAAAGCACGGCTAACTACTGCTCTACACCAGGTTGCTCACGGCTTCATCCAGCCAAGGCTTGAATACCCCCATGGAGGGAGGATGCACCACTGCTCTGGACAACCTCTTCCAGTGTCTAATCACCTGCATGGGGAAGACTTTTTCCATTGTCCCCAGTCAGCATTTCCCCTCATGCAGCTTGTGAACATTGCTCTTGCCCTGTTGCTGAGCTCCTCTGAGAAGAGCCTGGTTCTGCCACCCATCCAGCTCCCCTCAGGCAGCAAGGCCTCCATCAAGGCCCCCTCAGCCGTCTCTTCTCCAGGATGAGCAAACCCAGCTCCTCAGCCTCTCCTCCTGTGCCACGACCACCTTGGTGGCCGTTCATGGTCTCCCTCCTGTTGGTCAGCCTCTCTCTTGTCCTGGGGCCCACAGCTGGGCACAGCCCCCTCAGAGAGACCCTCAAAAGCCAAGTGGAGGGGAGGGACCCCCTTCCCTGGACCTGCTGGCTGCACCCGTGCCAGCACAGCCTTGGAGGTGGTCGGCCACCTTTGCTGCCAGGGCACACTGCTGACACCATTCAGCTTGTTGTAAAACAGCACCCAGGGCCTTTTTTGGCAGAGCTGCCTGCAGGGAGTCGCTCCCCAGCCTCTTACTCCAGCAGGCTGGTTATCCCAGTCCAGTGCCAGGAGTTTGCTTTTACTTTTGTTAGACTTCGTTACCTTTCTGTCAGGTTGTTCCTCCAACTGTAAAGCCCCATCAGAAGAGCAGCTGTGCCCTCCAGCATATCAACTGCACCCCAGTTTGGTTTCATCATGAACCTGGTGAGAGTGCACTCCATCCCATCAACCAGGTTGCTAGTGAAGAAGTTAAACAGTATTGGCCCCAGCAGAGGTAAGCACAAAATAGCACACAGCATGGACCACCCAATTCCTGCCAAACTGCCTCCTGCCCTATAGTCTATCCATCCAGTCCATTTTTTCTCAGGCTGATGACCAGGATACTACAAGAGACCATGTCAAAAGCCTTGCTAAAGTCAAGGTAGACAACATCTATTCAGCTCTCATACTCAAGGACAGTCATTTGTTCAGAGAAGGCGATCAGGTATGACAGGTGTGACTTGCTCCTGATCAGTCCATTCTGGCTAGGTCCTTAGGTCCTTGAAATACCTTCCATGAGAACCAGCACCATCACTTTCCTGGAGACTAGCGTGAGGTTGATGGGCCTCACTCTTACCCTTTCTGATGACGACTGTGACATTTGCCTTTCTCCAGGCATCAAGAATGTCTCCCAGCCACCATGATCTTTCAGTGATGACAAACAGCAGCTTCAGGATGACACTAGTCCACTAGTCAGCTCGCTCAGCGGCCTCCAGCATGTCCTGTCTGGTCCCATGGACCAGCTTATTTTAAATAGACCCTAACTCTATCCTCCCCTACTGTGGCTACTACCTCCCTCCCCCAAATTTTGCTTCTAGGAGACAACCTAGGAGGCCTGAGAGCAGACTCTGACAGTAAAGCCTGAGGCTTAATGGAGCAGTGGGTCCACACTTACCCTAGTCTTCCTTCTCATTTTTGCTGCTGATGCACTCATAGTAGCTGTTCTTGTCCTGCTCATCCCTCGCCAGTTTTGATTTCAGCCAAGCTTTGACCTTCCTCATTCTGTCCCTACATGCCTGGACAACACTTCTGTGTTGCTCCTTGGTCGCCTGTCCCCACTTCTACCTCCTGTCTGCTTCCTTTTTGCATTTAAGCTCAGTCAGGGGCTCATCTGTCATGTCAAGTTCCTATTACAGATTTTCCCCCTAATTTCTTTGAAATCTTGTACCCGGTGGCATAGCTCCCCTTCACTTCAACAAAATGAGAATTTTACCACCCTTTAGAAATTACTACTATCAACTTTGTCACCTTGATCATAAAATTTTGTTTTGCTGTCATCCTCTATTACAAATAGATGCTTCTGCTATAAATGATTTGTTTGGTATAATTAAGCTGCACCTAAAAATGCTACAGTTTAATACACAGTTGCGCCTTGTGTCATCTTAAAGCAGAAGCCTCCCAAATAGGACCTAAACAATACTAATTCATGGTGATGGCAGATATAATCTTAGTCTTCCACACAGAATTTTAGCAACTGGAAAATGTTTTCCAAGTGTCTTCAGCAGTACCCATAAACATTCAGCAATGCTATTTTCACTTTTCAGAACTAAACCAGTGTAACTAAATAGTGAACTAAAACTCTGTAAACTTTTTTCTTTCCAACATAGCTGTAAAGACCTGAAGGTTAAAGAGAGCACTATCAAAGGGAGTCCTTCTGGAAAGCATTAACTCCCAAGAAACAGAAAAGAATAAAATTTCATCCACATTTTTGAGATGACACGGGAAAATTTTCAAGCCTATTTTCATAACTTCTTGGACAATGCATTCATACTCAAAACGTAAACATTGCTCGCTGTAGTTTGAAGCATTGTAAAATCGAACTGACAAATATGAAAATGATGTGATGGCAAACTTCTGTTCCTGTTCAGAAATACCTTTCACTAGGAAACATTTACACCAGTTTCTCATATACATTGCTTAAGATGTGAAACATTTTAAAATGGTTATTTTCAGATATTTGAAAAATTTGCTTGCAAGCAAAACAATTAATGTTAGATCATTCTCTCTTCTTTCACAATTCGATGTCAACAGAAACTTGGCACTGGTACTTAACACATCTACATCTCTTTCCCACACTGCTCTCCGCGACTGCTTTCTTGCAGCTCCTTCAATCTAAACCGCCCTCCAAACCCTGTTGCACTCAGGTTCTAACTTCTCCTTCCTTCAGAAACACCCCTAACAGCACTTCTTCCAAAAAGCTCAGTAAGTAAATCTTTCTAAACACCCCAAGGCTCGAACCCAAACCCACACTGTTTCGCTCACAATCTGAAGATGCTTTCGTTTCAACAACAAACCCCACACCTGGTGATTCTGAACTAACTCTTCCTTTCCTGCTTCTCTTCTCACAGTCCATTTCCTCCTCTTCTATAAGAGATATGCAGCAATAATGACAGTATCTCCCACTCTTCTGTGATGAGAGCTTACGCCCAGCTCTGTATTCCTTCAAAACTCCCTCCCCACTTACTCACATGGGATCTCTTTCAGTCCTGGGTAAGCAGATTTTCCCAAAGCCTTCACAAAGCCTATCACTGTTACATCACTTTGTGTATCTTAAGATTTATCTTCGTCTCTCTGGTTGTCACTTCCCCAAGGCAAATGCAGTGTTTTTCCACATGTTCTGTTTAGTGCTGATTGTATCACACAGATACTTTTTAATTACCTTTCTGTTCAGAGCCACACCATCTTCACAGTCCAGCACCGCACAATCTACATCTAGCGATGGGATTTTTCGTATCTTCTTTTCATCATCCGCAGGTACATACAGCACAGCTCGCCTGGGAACGTACTTGTGAGATGATGCAAAGCGATAACTAAGCTTAGGAACACCAGCTGGCAGAGAAGAATCCACCCTGTAAAGGATATTGTTGAAATTAGACTCTTGGCTACAATTCTGTAAAGAATACTTGACTGTATTTTAAAAGGGAAACATTCCTACCTAGATAGTGGCTGGTTTTGGGTTATTTATATATAATTTTTTTCCTTAGGAAGAGCCAAGGGACATATCAGTATTACAGTTAATTACAGTATAAAACTCCAAAACTACTACGTTCAACAGAAGTTGCAAACTTAAACACTCAGAACTGAAGAACTGCCGGGGCTGAGGTTATCCGTGCAGCCTTAATTACGCTGCCCGTTCTGTGCGCTATGGAAAGTATTAAATACAGAAGAGTGGTGGTTGTTTTTTCCCTGTCATAGGACTCCTCCATAGGATGGAGGCTGTGCAGGGAATGGATTGGGACTGCTTTAGGAAGAAGGCCGCTATCTGCCACGTTTGCTCCAGGAGCTGGACGGCATGCTGTGAATGAAGCAGGGGTGTTGGTTAAAACAAACATGGGCTTGCGACATTGATTTTGCAACCTTAGCGTTATATCAACAAACGTATTTGCATGCAAATTTTAAATAAGCAAAATGGATGGAGGGGGAAATGAGGAAAACAGGAATGAAAACCCCATGTAATGTGGAACCTCACTAATCCAAACATGTCCTCTCAGAAGCCTTCAGACCTTCATATCCACAGCACAGACTTCCATCAACAGAGCTCATAAACCCATCAGCAGGCTGTTGGCTGCGGTGCCTTTTAAAATTTATAAATGCTTTGTGCACCACACTTCAGTGCAGGTGTGAGCCTGTGGTGCCACATGGCTTGAGTGGGTGGCATCTGTACGGCCCGTAGGTGTCAGGTTTGTGGCGGTCTCCACCCTGTGCTGGTACTCCCGGTGAGGGACCAACTAACCCACCCCAGGCGCAAGCCAGGTTGGTGCAATTGGAGGCAGGGGAGCTGCTGGGGGAGGCTGCCCTCGAGTGCACTAGGGAGCTTGCTTTGCTCCATAATTACAAGCACAGAGAAATAAATTACAGAGGGTGCCACTGTGTTTCATGGCCTTCCAAAAAAAAAAACCAAACCCTTGCCTGCTTCTGTTCCTCCCCATTTCACGCTGTACCCCCCAGGCCTATTCTGCTACATCAAAAATGAGGACAAAATAATACAATTTGCCTTCATACTCAGAGCACAAGTCACTTACGCCACAAAATAATCCTACCATATAACACCATTATGCATTATCATGTATATTATTCAGCACTTTGAATAATGCAAAGCTTTTCTAGCACCATGCTGAACATGTCATTATCGCATCATGTCAGGGACCCATGCATTTTCCTATGCCCCTCTTAATAATGCTTCCCAAGTTGCTACACTTGGATGACACACAGCTACACGCGCACGTGGGTTTTCTTCAAAGTGAACATGACTAACCCCCTCAAACACTTGGAAATGAGTTCAGTCAATCTAAATCAGAGTCAATGTGACATGTCGCTGACAGACCACTGTGATACTTGCCTTTCTAAGCTAACCCTGTTGAAGAACCCTCTCTTCCCCTAGAGTAAGCACCCTAAAAGCTGAATACAGGTCTTGGGTTAAAAATATGAAGAAAGCTTTTATCACATTTTATCTCAGTAAACTAAGCTGAAAAGGACAACTATTCCACCATCTCCTCTGCTGGGTCTCTGCATGTCCTGGGTGGACCCACCTTACAAGCCCACAAAAACCCACCACCAATCTCTTCTTTATAATATGCCTGGTAATACTTAATTGAGCCTAAGTAACAGGGCGGCTTTGCTGTTAAACATAAACAATGCATTATTTTAATACAAGTGCCAGTGCTACCCTTGTTAATAAATGATCTTCTCTAACTGCAACAGCTTCAAGGCTTAGGTGGTGGAAGTCCTGACAATACCTGGAGACATGCAACTGAGATCCACTTTCTCTTAAGTACCCTCTTTGCCCCTCTCCCACAAACCACTTCATGTCTTCTGCCTCGTGTTGAAGTGGGGATGGTAACACAACTTGTGGCAACTCAAGTGGCTGCTAGTTAAATCCACTTAATCCCATTTTCTTGCAGTAGTACACTTTGGGAGCGCAAGGAGGAGGTGGAAGAATGGTTTATCTCAAATGGAAAGAGAAGGGTCTTTTTTCAGTGTGACACAGAGGTCAGTAAAGAAGTCTGCAGTCCTTCACTAAACATATATGAGGGGACAAAAGTGATTAGTTTCTGTTCTCTTTCTCTGATGGCTTCGGCCCTGTAGTTCTCAAAGACACAAAGGACTCAAAGAGCTCAGCCCATTAATAGTTAACTCCAGCCTAGAGCCAAGCAGCCCCTGAAGCACCCTTAATGACTGCCTCTCACCAACCCCCCAACCCACCTGAAACTCGATAGACATGGCTAACACTATAATCTCAGAGCACACTGAGATTAGACGTATCTCCTGTTATGCATCTCCCAGGATTTCTTCTGAGCCGTCATCAAACCACAGGCTGTTTGACCAGCCAGTTTCCCTCTCACTGCTGCAAGCCCCACGAAGGCAGCTCTGCTCCACATACCACACAAAACGGCGTGTAGTATTGTGTAGGTAAAACCATCATTACCCGCAGACCAGATTCAGTCAGGTGTCACCACTGAGGTCTATGAATTTTGTTCAGATGGAGGAGCAGTATGGCTTCCCCAGCAGGCCAGCTAACTCTAAAGAAGCAGTAGATTTAATCCATTAAAATACCATCACCTAATAGGCTTAATGTTAGAAATACTATCACCTGGTGACTATTGGTATCTCCTCTTCAGCTAACCAACTTTGTAGCCCAAGGGGCTCAAACCACAGGTTTCTCAGGACACAGACTATTATAAAAATATACTGTCAATTTGTCAAAGTATTAGTCTCATGGAACATTTTAGCAAGTTGAAGAAGTAATAATTTTTTCAAGAGCTATGGCCAGAAAAAAAAGATGCGCAGGAGGAACTGGTGTCAGTGGACCAACGCAGCATCCTTCTCCTTTCAAAACAAAGAGCTCTGGAAATGTACGTGTAAAATAAGAGTTTTCAACACGTATGCTTAGGTGTGACTGCAATAAATGTTTTCATATGCTATTATTTTGACATATATTCTGAAAAAATCAGCTTCTGTTCTCACTGTGCATTTTCCTTGCATAGACATATTTTATGTTCTACAACAAAATGAAATGTAGAGGAAGAAGGGGATTTATTAAGAAATCCATTTGCCTATAGACCTTTTTAAAAGAGTGGCAAGGCCTAGGGTTTTCTACGCTGGTAGGAAACACTATCCTGATTATCTCGACTTCTGTTATTTCGATAGAATAAAAACATCCCCAGCAGTTACTTTTTTAGGACAAAAAACCCCACACAGCACTGCAATCTCAATTATATTGTTAACCCCATGCCATAAAGAGGAAGAAAATCTTACATATGTTTCCTGACTGCAAGTATTTTAATGATTCAAACTAAGCTTGACTACGCTTTAAACTAAACACATGGACATAAGCCAAGTGAATTTGCTAAGACAATGTTTCTTCCTTTAAGCACTGTAAGTTAAAACAAGGACTAGGCTATTGGGTAATGCTCATTAAATTGTTTTACAGCAGCGTATTTTCATTCATAGCATCTAGCAGCACGCTGAATACTCCTGGGTCTTGGAAATGAAAGCAAATTTCTTCAGCAAACATAACACTCTACTAAAGCCTTCATCAAATATGTAAAAGCAGCTGGCAAGTTAAAGTTACTCGTGATCCTCTGAGAACTGTTTCACTCAACAGCAAATAGTTCATCCTCAGGAAGGAGAAAACAAAACCTTTCTGATTACTAAGAGACATTGCACTTTGCAATGGCAGCCATACAGTGTGACTGCAAACCAGTGAAACTACCTCAAATGATACACATTTCCCTGCTGTAAACTGGATTTTCACATTCCAGCGTTGCTCGTACTCACACATATACGTAACTGCACACACCTGTGCAGTCCCATCGGAGCCAACAACATACAGCTCACAAGTAAGTACTCCCACAAGTGATTTTCAGGATCCTGCGCCTCTGTTCCCTGTTTATTTGCTAGATCAAATCGTCCCTGGAAGAGACGCTACACTGTGATCTGCCTAACGCATGGAAAAATATCCATTGCTCCACAGGCCGAATCTCTCCTTCTACAATCTTTGGCACCCTGTTGGCAAAGCATTTCCAAAGGACACGTTCAGGCATTTGAATAAAACCATTAAAAAAGCTGGATAATTTCCACAATGTGTATTTCTGACCTGTGTGCACGTAACTGCGTCCCAATCACAATCCTGGATATCTGTGGTGCTGTGGCAGAAGGACAGAAGTGACCCAAGACCTAAGACCCCACTGAACACGACCCAGCTAATGCAGCAAAATCTCCTACTAATTATTTCTCCGATATGTGCAAAAAAACCCCCAGAGTAAATATAATGGTTTTCCTATGTCGAATTTACTAGGGAGTAGCTCACAACTGCACACAAATAATCCGCCAAAGACAAAGGAAACTTCTACGAAATTACAAAGCCCCGCAATTTGCATAGTAATTCTTTCTAATTAAGAAAAGAAGATATAAGTTGTTTGTTATAAACATCAGCAGGCCCTGTGCAAATACGAAGGGCTCGCAGCCGAGCTGAGTATTTGTCGAATCAAAGCGACTCGCCGGAGAGTTTTATTGGTACAGCTGCGGCACATGCATTTTATCACACATGCTAATAATCCTGGTTATGGCACTAACATTTTAATCATTTGTTCTGTGGGCTTGTTTCTCAAACAATTAGCACTAATGAATGGCCAAAATACCTCGGATCAT